ATATCAACTTTTACTCCCCCCCCCATGAAGAATGCCTGAAAGAATGGTCTACAAGTGAGGATCTATTTGCCTGTACTTTTATAGCTAGCTATATAATACCCATATCAGTTCCAATTATATATATTCCCTTCTGTATGAGAGATCATATACATATATATATATATATATATACATGCATATATTATACAAAAGGAGATAGTATACTGCATATGCATTAAAAGAAGTCCTCTCCATAAGGAACGGTTGGAGAAATTGCAATGTGGCTATTCTGATTCCTCTATGTATGCTACTAAATTTGTAAAAAGCTATATGATATTATAATTAATTACCACTCCTTTATCAGTTGACAACAATATACATATATATATATATATACATACATATACACACATATATATCTATCTTAGTTAGTGGAAGAGCATCATGAAATTGAATTTGATTCAAATTCCAATTCTAATACAAAGTCATTATACATAAGAAATTAGAAATTAAATTATAATAAGTATTGAATTTCAAAAAATTAATTTAATAATTATCTTAGAATATTTGAGTATGGAAATAGAGACAAGAATATTTTGAGCTTCGAATGCAAGATTTAACGTACGTAATACATACGTGTGTGCGTGCGTGTGCGTGTGTGCGTGTGCGTATATATTTCTGCAAATAAGAATACTAGTAGAAAAGATTGAAAATGAGCAATTTGGAAGTGCATAATATTATTATTCTTGTAAGTAGATTACTGAAAGATTTGACATAATGTTCTTTCTTAGCTTTTTCCACCTTATACAATTGAGGATGCTGCTGCTGCTGTTCCTCCTCCTTCAGTTTTGAAGATTAAGTATTAGATGCCATGTTCATGTGACAAAAGACTATACACTCAAAAGATGCCTAGAAGAACTTGAAAAGCTCGAATAATTTTCATATAATAACACCCAACTAAAACCTAGAAGAATTTCCGAAACCAAAAAACTAAAAACTCGTGACGAAATAGCAACATCACCAAGATTATGACAGTAACCTACAAAAAATGATTCTCAGATGATCGTGTACCGACACGAAAAGTTGTTAGACACTCCGTAGGCGTAAACAACTTGAAGACTTAATAATCGTGACTAGTTAATTCGCTGTAACTTGTTTAAAGTAAACTAAACAAAGAGTGCCTAATAACTTTTTATGTCTGTGTAAAGTTTGTCTGACTAATCTAATCTATGCTCTTAAGAACAAAATGACTAATCAGAAAAAGAAAGTGAAAAGGAAAGAACAAGATTATATAATAAACTAAGTTTGTTAAAGTGGGTTTCTTTTTAAAGCAGCATTAATTTGATTTGGAGAATTTAATCTTTACTTGATTATTGCTTAATCAAGATTCCAAAAGGCCATTTATTTAGATAGCTGCTGCAAATGGCTGCCTTCAGTGTGTGCTGATTGTTCTTCCCAGAGAAACAAAGGAAGAAGAGGCTCTTGTTGTAAATTTTGAGTGTTGATACAATGGTTGATGGGAAAACTTGTAGTGAATGGAAGCCATTCATAATAATGGTAGCCATAGAATTTGCTTTTGCTATTGTGAATATTCTTCTTAAAACGGTTCTTGATCTTGGTATCAAACCCTTAGTTTTCATCACGTATCGACTCTCTATTTCCGCCATTTTCTTGGCTCCAATCGGCTACTTTTGGGAAAGGTAGACACCCTGACCACTCCCCATTGAATTTCTCTTTTGAGCTATAGAGCTTGAAATTGATCTTTTTTTTTTTTCAATTACTATCACAACACTGAACATCATACATTGAATTTCGAGTTATTGAGTAATTGTTTAAGCCCAATACACTCC